AAGATGAGAGAAGGCGCAGAGAGCAGGAGGAGTCTGCCGCAGCCGCTGCAGCTGTGGAGACTGTCACGGCCATGTCTGTTCCATCAGAGCCTATGGACCTCCCGCCTCTGCATGAAGATAAGAGTGTCACGCTGTTGATGGAGCCTCAGCACCCCCACCCAAACCCACCAGACCACCACCCCCACCATCACTCCAATGAGCTAGACCTGGAGACCGTTCAGGCGGTCCAATCTCTGACACAGGGGGAAGCCCAGGAGGACGAGGCTGAACCCCACCCACACCACGGGGCATACCAGGACTGCGAGGAGACCCTAGCTGCCTGCCGGACACTGCAGAGTTACAGTCACACAGGGGAGGGGGAAGAGGAGGCTCTGGCTTTGGTGGAGGATTGTGGGGCATCACAACACAGCAGCCCTATGCCTAATCCTCCTATGCCACCTCTGCCCAATCAGTCAGTACGCTCAGTTAACAGTCCTGGGCTGCCATCTGCCATGATGGACACAACACCGACTGGGCAAAGGGGGGGCACCCCGGGTCCAACTGGAGCTGGGGGCAATAACAGCAGCACTGGAGGAGGGTACACTCAAATCACCCCAGAGCACCCCAGCTCTCTGTCTGCTCCCTCTCAGCAGAACATGGAAACATCGCCCATGATGGATGTCCCGTCAGTGTCAGACCACTCACAGCAGGTGGTGGACAGTGGCTTCAGTGATTTGGGCAGCATTGAGAGCACAACAGAGAACTATGATAACCCCAGCAGCTATGACTCCACTATGGGTGGAGGGGGGAACGGGGCGGGGAACGGGGGAAGTGGAGGTGGTATTTCGGCTGCTGTGGCAGGAGCTCCCACTGCCTCCTCTTCATCTGCCCCTTCCTCCTCCAGTTCTGCAACGCCCTCATCGTCCCAGTCCAACAGCTGTTCTTTCGCTCCAGCCCCCACTCTCAACTCCTCCACTGGGGCAGGGGGGCAGCTCACTATGGGCAGCTGTAGCCACATCCAGCAGACGGGTCAAGGACCAAACAGTGGTCCCAGTGCCAATAATGTTGCAGTACCACAGCCCCCACCACCCCCTCCTCCGTCCAACACCCCCGGATGTGGCATCAAATCTCCTCAAAGCTGTGGTGTTATAGAGAGACCACCCAGCACCAACCAGCAGCAGCAGCCACAGCCCCAAAAGAAGGTCCCACAGCAGCCTCCTCAGCAGGCCCCCAACTCCCAACCTGCTGCCTCAGCTCCACCACCCCCTCCACAACAACAGCAGCCTCTATCCCAGTGCAGTATGGGTAATGGCTTTGCCTCGACACCAATGATCATGGAGATCCCAGAAAGTGGTGGAGGAGGGGGAAGAACTCTCTATGAACGCATGGGCCAGGACTTTGGCACAGGGGGATACCCCCAGCCCTCTGCTACTTTTAGCCTGGCCAAACTGCAGCAGCTCACAAACACCATCATGGACCCTCATGGCATGCCATACTCCCACTCTGCATCAGTCACTTCCTATGCCACCAGTGTCTCCCTGTCTAACCCCGGGCTGGCCCCATCACCCCACACTCCTCTGCCCCAGGGCCAGCCCACCATGACCCCACCTCCCAACCTCAGCTCTGGCTCCATGAACCTGGGCTCCCTTCAGCTGCAGTGCAACATGCCCACCACAAATATTGGCCTGGGCCCCCCGCCACACACTCAGCGGCTACAGGGGCAAATGGCCACTGTGAAAGGCCACATTTCTATCCGCTCCAAACCCACCCCGCAGCTGGCGCCAGCCCCACACCAGCAGCAGCTCTACGGGCGCAGCTCTGGTACCGTGGCCATGCAGGGCACCCCACGCACTTTGGCCGTGCAGCGAGGTATGATGCCCAACCTCATGCCCACACCGGCCCCATACAACTCCATGAACATGGCCCCCCTTAATGCTATGTCAGCAGCAGGGTACAGAATGCCCCAGCCCATGATGAACAGCAGTTATCATGGCAACCCTCCTTACATGAACCAGCCTGCTCAGTACCCTATGCAGATGCAGATGGGGATGATGGGAGGACAGGGTTACCCACAGCAGCCTATGCAGCCCAATCACCACAGCAACATGATGTATACTGCTCCTTCACATCACAGTTACGCTGGTGTCCCAAAGCAGCCACCGTACATGAGCAGATGAGCAAAGGACTCTTGGTGGAATCGGAGTCAGAGCGGGTTACTCGTTTACTCTAATGTCATTACTCCTGATCCCTCTGCACTGCCAATGCAGGCACCATAAAGAGGAGAACAAAGGAGGTTAAGATGGTCCTAGGGTTTCCTGTTTTTCTATGTTGTCATTTATGTCCATTTTATTTTGGGAAGATCTTCCCTCTCCCTCCAGCTGTGGGAGCAGTCAGCAGGTTAGGGGCTGGCATGTGAACATGGACCTCAGTAGGGCGCTGTTGCACCAGGCCAAACCTACAGCTCTCCGTAAAAGGGGTTTGCTTGTGCTTCCCTGATCCAGCACTATGGAGGCGCAAGGCTGGACAAAGGGGAAACTAGGAAAAAGACAATACAGGAATACCTTACTTTGTCAGACTGCTTATGAAAAAGTTAAATGACTATATCCAACCATGCACACAATCTTTTAATTGATATAGGAAGCCTTATCTTAAAAAAGACAATGAAACATTGGACACAAACATGTTTTGTTCAATTTATTGTTGACTTATTTTTCTTGTTTTTGTTCATCTTAAATATTAGTGTGCAGTCCAGCCTCTTAAATGCTTTGGTCTTTATATATGTTGCATTCTCAAATGGCTCTTGTTCACAAATACCTGAACATCTCTGGTGGCTTTTCGCCTTGATTCATAAAATCTTGTGCGCAGAGCCTCAGTGTCCGAGGTGAGGCTGAGTCTTCCGGGATGGACCGTGTTGTACCAAAACACACAGACATGGAGGAGTTACTGTTTATTATATGTCCATGAGTAAAACAAGTAGCATTATTTTCCACTTTGTCAACACAGCATTTAGATGTAAATATTCTGGTACTTCCCAATATAATACTCAGCCATACATACACATTCTGACTAGCCTGAACCAATCGGGGGCTTGTTCAGAATATCACACTCCACTGACAGTGTACAATGTCAACCTTTTCTAAGTTATGCGGATGCTGAACAAAATTTAATGTGACGGCTTTTAAGGAAAGTTATATTTGATTATAGCTGACCACCATTCTACAGTATACATTCAAGTGTTACTGGCCCAAAGAGGTTGAGGACTTTTTGAAAAGTGTTTGTTTTGTTTCAAAGCTGTTTTTTTTTTTTTTTTTTTTTACTATGGCAAATTCTGCACTCCTAATGACTAGAGAAACAGCAATGGCAGATATCGTTTTCAAAGATATCAAAATGCTGGATCTAGTGCACGGACCGGCCCTCAGAGGCACTGGTCAGAAGCAGGGTCAGGGGCAGATTTGGAGGTCCTGGTTGGTTGAAGGGTTCAGAAACGTGAAGCCTTGACCAGTATTCAAAGTCGAGAGGAGATTTCATTTTCTGACCCACCATTGCATATTTTGTGTGTAGACTTTTGTTATTTTTGTTTTTCTTTCTGAATTTTATCAGACGGGGCAGCTTCCTTTTATGACACAAGCTGACTCTTTTTGACTTTAGAAACCAATTGTAGAGAAAATGTTTTTCTATAATATAAAAGGAAATTCTGACATGATATTGGTACTGTCATTTTTTTTTTCACTTCTGTTTCAGGAAAAAAATATTACATATTTTTTAGCTCGACTCTTGGGTAATAATTATTAAGAAATTCAAAACCTAAAAAAAAAATACCACTCACTATTAGTGACTTTCAGATGCCTTTAACCTCTCCATTCCATCTCATCTCTAGAGTTTTTCTATCTTTGTGTAGTATATTAATGCTATTTTAAACAAAAGGACTACAAATATCTAAAGGTCACTTGGCATTCTTTTTTTTTTTTTACTTGTGTGTGTATAGGCTGACTTCCTTACAATTACAAGGCATGTAAAAATGAGCTCAGTATATTTCTGTCTGTTTATATCGCTTCCCTTTTTGTATCCTTTGTAATTGTACATGTTGCGTTGTATGCTAAGAGAGGGCGCAAAATAATGAGGAGGTATAAGCTGGGCACACAGTGAAAGTTGATCTGTGCTTGGCAGCCTCTACTCTACTCTGTTCATGTATGTATTCCATCTATTTGTTTTTCTTTCTTAGCAAGTACTTTCAAAGAACTCTGTACATTTTAACATAAAATGAAAATAAATTATGTTGAGCCATTTATGTTTCAATACAGCTTCTTTTTCGTAGATTTGTTCGCTACACTAATGTGCAGATACAAATGATTATTCCCTAACGAATAAGCATAGTAGTCATTTTATAAACTATGAGCAAATTCATAGTATTTTACAGTTATAAAACATCTTCAAGACGTTCAGAAGAATGCATGTTGACTTGACCTAGTTAACTGAATCTTACACAATCCAGCAGTTGTCTCTAGAGGGAACCTTCTTTAGAGATTCACTCCTTGTCCACTAGATGTCGCCACTAAGTCAAATACAAAGAGCTATCGTGAGAAATAAAACATAAGCATTTAATATATACCAGTAAGCCTAATGTAACTCATGATAACCTCATAGTATTGGCTATTAATAAACCTAAGTAGGAAAAGCCAAACCTGCATAAGTCGTTTGGACTTTCTCAAAAATTGGATTGGTACTGCTTTTTTTATGCATTTATAAAGCGTCAAATGACATGTGTAGTGAAACATTAAGAAGAAGTTAACTAAAATAAATTGCAGAAATTGTATAAAAGTAAACTATATACAATTAATTTTGATATTGCAACAAAATGTCAGACGCTGTCTAGCCAATCATTTCTGGTGTTTACTGTAGCGATCACGCTTCAACCCAATCAGAATGGATTAAATTACAACAGCTTCCGCAATATTGACCAATCGGTAATCGCATTGGGCGGGCTAGTGTCGGAATTGTGGCTTCTGATTGGTTGAGGCTCAGACCCTTCAAGCCTCACATCACGATCTGAACCACCTAACGGGAAGCAACGACGGCGGCTTAATCTTTAATTGAAAAAACGGAGAAAGGCGAGACAAAACTGTGAGAACTGTCCTCGGTAAGTGTGTAGCAAAATACAGATATCTATAGCGAGGAGTAAAAAAATGCATATCTTGCGCAGTTACGTTGATCTGGGACATTTTTATCCATGAACGGTGAGAGTGGGCTTTTCCTCTTGTCATGGGACTAAAGGAGGTGGAGGCAATGATGGAGCATCTTTCTCCGTATGATCCGTAAAGGCCTTCAGTTTATTCTCAAATGTTGCCAGCTGTTGTCAGTATTCATTCGGATCTTGTCTACTTTACTTGGTTGTGTTCACCTATAATAGTAATTCGATAGCTTGCACGCATATTCAATGACTGTTCCGGTGTCGTCTATCAGAGCTATTTGTGGACTAACAAAAGTAGCTAATCGTGTATTTCATCGTCTTTTTCATGAAAATGCGTATTTTGTCTGCTTACTAAACTAATAGTATTATAATAATATTTAATACGTTAGAAATGGTAATGTAATTTAAAATGATAAAGCATGCTATAATCTTCATAAGGCTCCATTACAACTGCAAAAACTACTTTATAAGAAGCTATATTTTTGCCTATGAAATATAGTAAATAGGGGTTGTATTTAACTAGTAATGAGGTGATGTTGATTCTAATTATTGTATCTAATTAAGTAATTAATTAAGTAACTGGTTCTAACTACTGTAGCTAAAAATAGATAACTGTATTAGACTTTTTAAATTTTATTTTATAGTTGTCATTTTGGTACAGAGGCAATTTGTTCATTCATTCAGTCCCTGTTCTTATTCAGTAGTGTAGGAGTTTTTTCAGGGTTCAATGCCAATTTTGAAACTCTTGCGCTCCATCAGTACTAATGTAAGACCACATCATGGTAACATAGTCTGACTCTTGTTTTTGTGTTTTGTCTCCTCCAGCCCTCCACCCCACAGCCAACATGATTCACAGCCTGTTCCTCATCAACGCCTCGGGGGACATTTTCCTAGAGAAGCACTGGAAGAGTGTGGTCAGCCGTTCTGTGTGTGACTACTTCTTCGAGGCCCAGGAGCGAGCTTCAGAGCCAGAGAACGTCCCTCCTGTGATCCCCACTCCGCACCACTATCTCATCTCTGTCCTCCGCCATCGCATTTACTTTGTAGCAGTCATACAGAGCGAGGTGCCGCCGCTGTTCGTCATCGAGTTTCTGCACAGAGTTGTTGACACTTTCCAGGTATTTCACACCACATCACAACATTCTGTAAGGCTTGTGTTGAATGAGAAGGGGGCAGGTAATCTTAAAAGTGCCATGTAACTTTTCTGGTGGTCCGTCACCTGCTTGTCTCATTGGAGGTGTTTTTGCTTTTCTTAGAATGTGCCACAGTATGTTAAAACTTCTCTTTCTCAATGGAGACAAGCAGGTGGCACTTCCAGTTCAAGTTTAGATCTGAAGAAAGGGGACCTTGCTTATGTTTTTGAAGGCATTATTGAAAGTGAAAGCAATAAATAGATAGATGCGGTTAAAGGTGCACTAAGTAACTTTTGGTGGTCCAGCACCTTTAATGCCACTGTATGCAACAACCAGAGCAATAATATCTCCATGGAGGCATGATAGATGTGTGGTTTGTTGCATAAACGAGCAGGAACAATGAACCTTACTCCTTATAAAAAATGATCCCTCACCCATATCTTATCTTTTTTCTGTGTAACAACCAAATAGTGATGCAGCAATAAGGAATTTTTTCATATTTGTTTTTGTCAGGACTATTTTGGGGTCTGCACAGAGGCTGCTATCAAAGACAATGTGGTCGTTGTCTATGAACTTCTCGAGGAAATGCTGGACAACGGTTTCCCACTGGCTACAGAATCCAACATCCTCAAAGAACTCATCAAGCCCCCCACCATCCTCCGGACCATGGTCAACACTATCACAGGTATAAGCTCATAGTAACTGTCGTACAACCGCAATGTCAGTCAGACAGTTATTGTTCAAAGTATAAGTTTAAGTAGCTGGTTTTATAAGTTGCATACAAATTATTTAACTTTAAGGTGCATTGTGTAATTTTTCTATTGGAGGGTCCGTCAGATGCTTTCCTCCATGGAGATGTTATTGCTTTGTCTGAAATGTTTCACATTATGGTATTAAACCTTCAGTCTTTATGGAGACCAAACCACACCAAGTTACAGGTCAGATCTGTGGAAAGGCAACTCCGCTCACAGTCAGAATGCCTGTTTTTCTAGATATTTTTAAGCAATAAAACCAGCCGTGATTGAATAAATGTAATGTAGAGCTGTTTACTGTCATACTATGGAACATTCCAGGCAGAGCAATGACATATCCATAGAAACAAGCAGGTGACGAACCCTCCACCAGAAAAGTTACACATTGCATCTTTAATTATCAAACATGATAACTCTGGGCCTGTATTACATTGCTGGTTTCTTCATTATTTTTCATTGTTGTTAAGATGTTTTTTGTCAAATGTGCAGGTAGTACAAACGTGGGTGAGCAGCTCCCCACTGGTCAGCTGTCAGTGGTGCCATGGCGACGCACTGGGGTCAAATACACAAACAACGAAGCTTATTTTGATGTGGTTGAGGAGATCGATGCCATCATTGACAAATCAGGTAATGCATGAAAATAAATTTGAATTAAGTTGATCTTTTATTATTAATGTATTGCAGTAATTCTGATAATCCTTTGCCTTCCAGGATCAACCATTACAGCTGAAATTCAGGGAGTCATTGATGCCTGTGTTAAGCTGACCGGCATGCCTGACCTCACACTTTCTTTTATGGTGTGTGCTCACACTTATGTTGCCTATTTCTTCCTTTGTAAAATGTGAACCTCCCCCTGTAAATAGTTGAAGAATATATAGTTCTTTGCATATATAAAAAAAAGTTTGATATGGAATAAGGGTATCACTGTTATCCTGTTTTGCTTGATTGCAGAATCCTCGGCTGCTTGATGATGTGAGCTTCCACCCCTGTGTGCGGTTCAAACGCTGGGAGGCTGAGCGCATCCTCTCCTTTATCCCTCCAGATGGAAACTTCAGATTACTCTCATATCACGTCAGCTCTCAGAAGTGAGTGCCATTATCAAAAAGTGACATTTTTAAGTTGAAATGGGAGTTATTTTAAGTTTTAAGTTAAGTTTTACTTTCTACCAGATGTAGTTATTTGTTTACATCTGTTGTCTTCGCTATAATGAATATTAATTACTATTCAAAAATGTTTAATCCTTCACAGACTGCTTTCTATATACAATTTAAATCCTTCTCTACTCAAACTTGTAAGTGTACTATGTAGCTTTTTGTTTAGGGGACCGTCACCTGCTTCTTTGTATGGATATGTCATCGCTCTGCCTTAAATGTTCCACAGTATGGCATTAAACTTTACATTTATTCAATTACAGGTGGTTTTACACCTCAAAAATACCTAGAAAATAGATTAATGTGTGAGCATGGTTGCCTCTCCACTGATCTGACCTGTAACTCTGGTTTGGTCTCCATGAAGATAGAAAGGTTTAATGCCATACTGTGAAACATTCCAGACAAAGCAATAACATAACGCAGTATTTGACTGACACTCCACCAGAAAAGTTACATAATGCACCTTTAAGTTCTTTCTACAGCAAGCTGAGAAAGTTTTTTCATAATAGAAGAATAGGATTTTTTGCAGTATGTATGATAAAAAAGATGTTAATTGTCCTATTATTGTAGTATGCAAATATTGATTCCTTATGGTTTCTGTTGTCCTTCCAGTTTGGTGGCCATCCCAGTTTATGTCAAACACAACATCACGTTTCGCGAGGGCAGTTCTCAGGGCCGTTTTGACTTGACCCTGGGCCCCAAACAGACGATGGGGAAAGCGGTGGAGTCTGTTTTGGTGAGCAGCCAGCTCCCGCGAGGCGTGCTCAACGTCAACCTCAACCCCTCCCAAGGAACATACACGTTTGATCCAGTCACGAAGGTACTGACACACAGAACTGCAGCTGTATGTTTGCACAAAGGGTGGAGGGATTAACACGTGACCTGAAGCCAACCTTGTGGTGACAGTGTGTGTGCGAGTTTATACAAATCGTAGAAGAAGTGTTAAAAGGACTATTGAACTCAGTTGATTGAACACAGATCCACTAACCCACAGGTTGGCGGTGTGATTCCAGTTCTCACAGATGAATGCTGTCATTGTGTTCTTGGACAAGACACTTAACTCACCTCTCCCCTAGTGTCTGTGTTAGAGCCCGACCGATATGGATTTTGCTGTGGCCGATATAAAACCAATATAATGGAAGTTGGAGCTGCCGATAGCCGATATAATCACTGATATATTTAGTGATGTAAAAATTCACTGTAAATGTTGAATTGTTTAAAAAACTTAGGTTTGGCTCTGGTGGATTTTAAATTGGGTTTATTTAGGCAACATTTATTGTTATTCTGCCTCTTTACATCATATTTACAGACAGTAGGTTGACTTAATGGCATTTTTGCATCACATTCTAGACACTAGTGATGGGTATTCCAGTTCTTTTTAGAGAACCGGCTCTTTTGGCTCGGCTCACTAAAAGCTGCTGGTTCTTTTGGCTCCCAAGTGGCTCTTCAGATTGTTTTGTTGCAAGCAGGACTAAAGCAGGTCTAAAGCAGGACTGAATCAGGACTAAACCAGGTCTAAACCAGGGCTGAAAAAGGACTAAACCGGGACTTATTTATTTTATGCTAAACTACAGTCAAATATGCTCGTTTTTTTTTTTGTTTTTGTTTTTTTTTAATCCTACGTACACGCAAATTTCTCAAAGTTTCGTTTTTAGCCGCTGCCGCTGTCAAACCACGAATCTGCACGCGGCGTGAAGAGAAAAAAAGTGAGAGAAAGAGAAAACACGGCTCCCAATAAGGATCAGGCTCCCGTCGTTCCCTTTAAAGATCCGGTTCTAAGAGTCATTTCGTTCGCGACGGACCCATAACTAGTAAAGAAAGTAGCGCTATTAGCCTTTAGCCGTAAATACGTGCGCGCCGCGGTAATTAATTATATGCGCAAATGTCATAATTCACACCTCTATTCACAGCTCATTTACATATCAGTGCAGGTCCAGTAGCAAATATACGGCCAATATAGTCACTTTAGAACAGACCAATAGAAAACAGTCTGTTTATGTGCGGGAGCTACAGCAGCTAACCCATAACAAATGACAAAAACTAGCTTCAAAGTCGACATATTTCCAACACTCACCGCTCATACAGGCTCCTCCTCACATCACAATTCTGCACTAATAAATGTCCTTTTAATCCAGACTCAAACCGATTGTCCGTAAAAAGAATATAATCTCAGTGTTTGGATCTGTGTCTGCGGGTGTAAACAAACACACGTGAGTGACGCGACTCTGTGGTGTGTTCAGGGACAGTACGGACACACACAGACAAATGACTCGGTAGATAAATACTGATGTGGAGCCACATATTAGGATATTTATCTGTCTGTAAATTGGATTAAATAAACAGAATGTAGAGCGTCTAAGCTTTATAACGAGGTATAACATGCCCACGTGAAATATCGGCCCCTATCAGCAAGCATATCGGCCGATAGCTGATATGCCTAAAGTTGCCCTTATCGGCCGATAATATCGGCCAACCGATATATCGGTCGGGCTCTAGTCTGTGTACAATGGTATATGAATGTTTGCGTGAATGGGTGACTGGTTCCTTGATGCTTTGAGTGCCTTGAAGGTTCAAAAGCTCTATATTAAAACAAGTTACCATTTACCAATTGATAATATGCAAAAATTGGATAATGTATGTATACATTTTCACGTATATAATAGTGACAACCAAAATATTGTGCTCGTTGTGCAGTTGCTGTCCTGGGATGTGGGGAAGATTAACCCTCAAAAGCTCCCTAGTCTGAAAGGCAGCATGAGTCTACAGGCTGGAGCCTCCAAACCAGACGAGAACCCCACCTTCAACATCCAGTTTAAGATCCAACAGATGGCTATCTCAGGTACTACTAGTGCACAAATGTTTTTATTTAACTCACTGATACGGTATTATTACAGAAATATTTGTCAGATTCTTATAAAGGTATAGGTCAATGGCTGCAGTGCATGAGCTCTACAAATGTTTGAATGCATTTTCAGTGGTCAGTGCACACTGCACATTTTATTGGGAGTATAGTTACACATAGTTAAAAAAAAAATGCTGTAGTTAAAACATTTCTTTATGTGTGTTCCACATTCTAGTTACACTATCATCTATCAAGTCTTTGTATAAACCTTTTACATACAATTACAGTTTGACATAATGGCGTAAATAACAGCATTTTTCAGCCATCATAGTGTTTTCATTTTCTGTTGTGCTCAGCTGATCATCACCTGACAGTCACAGTCTATATGCCTTATTATATTCTACCACCAGATGGCACTAAACGCATGAGCGCTGTCTCACATGACTTCACAAACAATTACAGCTTTGAATATTGGATCAAATATATTACTGAGCTTACATTGTTTCATAGGACTCAACATTTCAATTACAAGCAAAAGATCTTTTAAAAATTCCTAGTAAGTTAACATGCAATCTCACTCATTCATTATTGTTTTTCAGGGCTGAAGGTGAACCGCCTGGATATGTACGGAGAGAAGTACAAGCCCTTCAAAGGCATCAAATACATGACGAAGGCTGGCAAGTTTCAGGTCCGGACGTAGAGACTGCTGCCATTGGACCAAACCGGCAGAGGACAGAGGCTTGTGAAGGGGGAAGTGGAGTTCCTGTGGTTTATGCATTTGTCTATTTACACTGGAGGCTCCATGTAGCAGAGTGGACCATTTCACACAGAGAATGTAAAAACAGCAGGCCCATATTCATTTCATACTGTAAGTTGTGTTTTGTTTCACATTCACTAAACCATTCCACTAAACCAGCTTATTGATTGTGCTTGTTGCTTTATCAGTTAAAACCAAAACACACTCCTTCTCCAAAAAGGGTATGAGGTTGTTTGTCTATTATGGTCTACCAACATTTCCAAGTCTACTGTATGTTTGCCGTATGTAGGTGTGTCCAAGAATTCTTCAAATGCTTGATTATTTTTTTTTTTGTTTTTGATGTGAATGTGAATGCATGGTCTTCTCAGTGACCAAAACCAACCTTCTATTCTATTCTTCTATCCATTCTGTTTTTATGTTTTGTGGATACATCTCAAATTTGCTTGTTTTTGCTACTCTGTTGCTACAGCATCATGGCACCTTGATACAGATGGGGTGGGATGGCTGGAAAACTGACTGCAGCTCTTGTTTTTACTTTTTTCCCCCCTCTTATGATCAGTATTTCTCAGAACGTTTCTCCATAATTATGAGGATAATGTTATGGTCAATTATAGTACTTCTTCCTTTATAGTGAGACCCTGTTGAAAAACTTTGCAAATACTTTTTTTTGTCACAACACTGGATTCAGCACATATGAAAATGTGACAACAAAGCCGTCCTTTTGGTGAACTTTTTCCATGTGCTGTAAGAAATCTTAATTTATAATGTAATATTTCTATTTATATTTCTTGGTACTAGTGGTTTGATCCAAGTGCTGGTAACACTTCTTTTAAAATGCAAATTACAAACTACACAAGGACTATTTATTTATTCCTTGCTTAACTGGATTATTAAATTTGGCATAATTACATTCAAATCAAACTATCATCCTGTATGTGTTATATTTTGCATCATAGTTTTTCTTTATGTACTAAATGAGCTCCAGTAGTGTGTCACCATGGCAGTTGAGTTTTTTTTTCTTTCTTTTTTTAATTGAAACATGCCCACCAACACATTTGGGCCTCACACATTTGGACTATTTGGTAAGAGCTACTGGTAATACTGTACATGTATCACTCAGAAAGAGTTAAAATGGATAATTAGCCAGGATCTGCAGGAGAAATAAAGAGTGTTTTTTTTTGTGTCTAAGAGCCTCCAATGGAGAGTGACACAGATAAATAAAGATTTGATGTGTGAAATCAGAGTGGGCATTTTTATATAAATAATCATATGCTGGTTTAAATTCTTGTGTTATTTTTTATGGACGTGTCCTGTAGATTGAAGTGTTATGTTTTGTTGGTGTTTTTTCTTTCTCTGGAAAAAATACCAGGGCTTTCCCATATGGTGGCGTTGTTGCATCGCTATAAATATATTGAAGCCGACCAATTTAAAGAGCCTACCAAAGGGCGCAAATCCACGACATCTGGTTTAAATCCCATTAAGATCTATTCAGAAAGGAGTCAATCTACATGCGCGCTCTAAAGTACAATTACGCACACTTTTACGCACGGCACCACGAGCCCTAATGTGGTTTTTGGTTCCATCAGAGGACGCCAGAGTGGCCCCATAGATCCATAGAGTGGTCTCAAATGTCCAAGGGCCATTCCTGACCGCTTCTGCCGCGTCACGTCACGTGCTTTTGCGTGGCCATAGCTGGACAGACTCCACTCCATAATTTACTAATGACTTAGACCCCCTCCAAAAACATACTACCTTTTCCTCGCCCTGGGCCCCCTCCCTCGTGCACACCCCATCAGCCTAGGCCACACAGCTTCAAATCACTTAAGAAAAGTTTTGCTCTAACTTCCTTCTCCTGGACGGGTTTAAAAGTTCCGCATTTGCGTTTTGTTTTTTTGTTTTGGCGATTTAAAGCAACTAACCAGTGCGTCTTAACGTTCAAGGAATTTGAAGACATTCGAGCGTCAAGTGGAGAAAAAAAAAGCCTGGGGCCAACGTGTCATCGGTGTGGTAAGTTACTACGATCGATGCAGTAACTCGTGTTTTATATTAGACTATTTGAACTGTTTTTACTCCATGTGCACAGGCCGTGTAATATTCCTGGGTTCAGCGGTAGCTTTTTTGAATATTGTAATTGGAAAGTAACCCGTGCCACATAAGTCATTAATTAACAAGGCTCTCGGAGTTGCTGTGTGCATTAGCGCGTAATTACCATATTACAATCAAGAAGTGTGTATTCACGCGAGAAAGTGCCGTTTCTCTCACTCGGTCAGTAGCAGCAATGACACGTCCACGCGCACAGTGCTTCCTAATGGATGTGTGTTGTGTTGAAAGATAACAGCGATTATCCTCCTGTAAATGCGTGCCTGTTTGTTTTATCTGATGTGAAGTTGCACCCACTGTGAGCTTTGAGTGGCGGGTTTGGGGCATCCCTGTCACCAGCGCATGCACTAACCCACTTGTTGAAGCGCGAAGGAGGAAACGTGGCTTGAATCTGATTGGTGCCTGTATTTGGAAATATTGCTAACACTATGCGCCTGTAACACGTGCTTAGCTGGCATAGCCCCTCATCATTATTACCTTCTGAGCTGAACGTGTGTCGTAAGTTCGCTTGTAATACGTGTATTTTGTATTATTTAGGCCTAGAAAGTAGTCGTGGAAACCAGTGCCCACTGAAAACAACAACAATGTGCATATCTTGTGCAAACCCCACACTTATAAACGAGGAATTCCATAGTTTTTCATGCGCCTTTACTCTCCATATTTTGTTGCACCGGTTTCCTCCCTCAGGTGCACGCACGGCAATGCAGCTATTCTGCCAACTAGTTAGTTTAGTCTTTAATTTGATATTATAAGCATATTCTAGTTTTTTTTTTTTTTTTTTTGTAAATACAAGTTAGCTCTAGGTAAGTATGTTTTAAATTGGTACAGACTTCTTTTTTTTTTTTTTTTTTTTTTCCCGTTTTTTTTTTTTTTTTTCAAATTTGCAGTAGTGCACACATGGCTCACCAGAATATTGTATTCATTACTGTTTCAACTAAGCAAGAAACCTATGTTCATGAAAATTAAATGCCAATTAAGAAGATTAAAATATGCTTAGGTTATTTAGATTGCTGTTGGTGTCACAAGACTTATTTGGGGTTTTGAATACAATTTTAGTCTCAAATACAGGGTAACAATAGCAGATACGAAAACTGAAATTTCAGCACACTACAGTATAATTATTATGAACTGTAGGCTTCCAAATAGATTATATTGGGTTTGTTATCTACATATTGCTGTCATTTTTTCCCATTAAATTGTAATTCTTCCATTTGTATCTTTTTTACTTGTTGCCCGAAACCTCTCCAGCCTTGTGCGGTGCGTCCAGGCTGCTGCAGAGATCTGGCTGGTTTGCTTTTCTTTGCACAATTCACTTTATTGACGGTTGACTGGAGCGTGTGACCACAAAACAAAGAGGAGCTGTCGCTGGCATCAACTTTTCTCCCCCCTCTCTTGTGTTGAGGGAGACCCAAGCCCTCCTCCCATGCACCCATGTGGGGCCTGCCATTAGAAATCACAGTATCTTTTTCTCAAGCGGCTCACGTCAGGCTGCCAGGGCACAGCGCCAACGGGACGGAGTGGGCTGACAGCTGTGTTTGAGAACCAGACAGTATCCAGACACATACTGGGGCTGTTTGGGTGGACTAAACCTGAGCACATGACATGAATATAATTATAGGAATCAGCAGTAAACAAAAGCCAATGAGAACTTGTGCAAAAAAGTGATGAAATGATTTTGAATGCAACCCCTCCTTTGATTGTTTTGAATCCATTGGGGTTTACCTAATTATATTTTATTGCATTGGTGCATGCAGTCATTTGCATACAATTAGGCCTAGGTTTTTATCCTGGTCACTGCTCCTTACACAATACAATACCCTCCTCCATTTTCTACATAATTCCAAGACTTGGAATTGGCACAAAGAGCATTCTGGTTGCGTTCTCATTTTCATTTATTCCTTTATGTCTTTTTTTTTGTGTGTGTTTTTTACCTACATTGTGATTTTGTCCACTTTGAGGAAAATGCTCGCTTGCTGGCATGTGTTTGAAAATTAATAAGGAGAATGTGATAGTAGCCATTTCATGTAGGAATATTTAATTTGATTTTTTGAACAAATGAATTTAAAGTCAATATATAAAAATAACCTACTAAATCAAGAGCAAATTTAGAGCCACATATTGTAGGAATTTGTCAGGGACAAAAGATGATAACACCAAATGTCCACTTCTCAAAACTAAGTCATATTTGCATATTGATTCACCTACATAACACTTTAATTCCTTGTACTAACTTGTTTGTAAATGCCAATGGTGCAGTGGAACTAACAAAAGCATTCTCTCACCACATTTTGGTCTCTTTTGTTTACAGATATCATTGACGTTGGGCATACATTGGCTTCAGTTCCCAGGCCCTGTCGACACTTGGGTGGACCTGCAGCCATCCGTCAGAGGAGCAGTGAAAAATGGACTTTGGTCTCAGTGTTACCTCCCCATCGCTCCCCAGCAGCCCATTTGACCAAGAACACAAAATAAACTTGTTTACATTTTAAAAACGATATGGTGGTGTTCGAAAGCTATTGACAAGATCTGAGTAGGTTATACAAGATGCAATTTGTCTTTTTTACTGATAAACCTTGATATGTAAATAAAAAGTTGGCATTTTTAGCATTTTAAAACATTTTTTAAAACAATTTAATCAATAAAAGCAACAATGTCCAAACCAAGAACTGGTCCAGGGCCGCCTCAAAAAGATATATATGAATTCTCCCTTGACACGGAGGAGATAAACTCTGTTCACATGCGGATACCTTCCATAGACACTACATCTCCTCTCAGCAAGTTTATTGAAACTGAACACCAACAAGCTGGCCTGTACTCTTTGCCTGTATTTGACTCTTCTTTTGATGTGTCTGATGGCCAAAAGAAAAGAAGGAAGAAATGTGGAGTTTGTGGCCCCTGTCTGCTCAAAACTAACTGTGGGACCTGTGCAAACTGCCTCAACAGAAAGACAGGAAAACAGATCTGCAAACTGCGCAAGTGTGACGAGCTCAAGAAGAAACGCACTGACTGGGAGGTGAGTTTAAAGGTCCAATATTACACTATTTTCTGATTATGGTATAATGTTGTTTCCTCATCAAAAACATATCTGGGCTTGTTTTGTTTCTTTGACACATGTTTTACAAATCCTGTGTATTTCGGTTGAGTTCTTCTCAAACCAAAAGTACCCTGTCTCACCTTGTGATGTCATGTGACAATACAAAAAGTGCTCCACTGTTTTTAAACTCCATACACCTTCACTCCAAAAATTTAGATGATTTCTGACCAGGAACTGCCTATCTCTACACAATTTAAGTTAAAAAATACCACTTCATGACGTCACAAGGTGTAACAGAGCAGTTTGAGCTTTGGAAATGTAGACATAATAATAAAGGATTACCCAAACATGTGAATGAAACAAAATGCAACTCCAAGTCTCTTTTTGATGCACACAAGAGTCAATTTTTGTGTAATATATGACCTTTACGTTTATCTTTGTTTTGACTTCTTCAAGGGTGCACTATGTAACTTTTCTGATGCGTCTGCCTCCTGCTTGTCACCATGGAGATGGCACTATGCTGTCTGGAATGTTTCACAATATAGCATTAAGCTTGTCTATCTATATACAATTACATGCTTTTCTTTTCTAAACATACCTAGAAAAACATGCAAGTGTACTGTACTGTGAGCAGGGTCATCTCTCCACAGATCTGACCTTTAACTTGGCTTGGTGGCATCAGCTACTTGTCTCTATGGCGATGGATATATTTAATGCCATACCACAGAGCATTCCAGTAGGTGGTAGATCCTCCTCCAACAACAAATGAGTTACACAGTGCAGTTTTAAGATTTCCAAAAATGTGTAAATGTAATCACTAAACTGTAAGCCGGTACTTCCAGTAGTAGTTGCAATTGTGACAAACTTATAACTTAATTTGAATTGATCCCCTTTGATTGAATTGAGCCACTAACAGTGAAGTAATTGACTAAATTACAAAAAGAGCTCTTAAAGTTTAGGGAAATTGTATATTTACCATCTATGATACACACAAAGACTTCTTGACATACTATACGAACAATGTTATCACTTATTTGCTGTTCTATTCATTGTCTCATCATTGTTGTTGATTGACATTGTTAAAGGTTCACTCAAACATCCTGCTTTTGGAGTCTAGAGCAGCTACAAAGTTAAAGGCCCTGCTTCCTCTCCTCAGATTCCTTGTGCATCATGTTTGGACTCGTTTTTCCTCTGGCGCAGTTTAGTGGGAATGGTCATAAGTGTTTAAGGTTTAGTGTACAATAATCCCCTGACACTCCGTAGTTACTGTAGACTATAGGGATGTAAAACAGCATTGATAGGTACAGTTAAATACTGACAACGACCTAGCCTCTCCAGTTTTAGCTCAAATAAATCAAACTATTGTATGGTGTTGTTGTTCATAGTTTATATCTGGCATCCATGCAAAATTGACACTTGTTATATGTTTAATATCATAATAATAAAGACATCCTTGTATTAGAACAGCTGAACTTAGTGGAAGGTAGGGAAGTAACGATGTTCAAATCTCTCTGTATGATATTTTCTTGATACAGAGGCTAACAAAACTGTGAATATGCTACTTTTTCCTCTTAAAATGCCTTGACAAGACTTAATCCTGAAAACTAAGATTTAAAAGTGCTTAGAATGGTTATTTCTTCTTGTAGTATGCACTGAAACAGAGCAAAGGGTCATGGTCTATGTAGTTCTTTCTGTTTTTTTAGCTATTGCTGCACCATAACTGTTCATTTAAGCAAAGAGACTTGTAATATATCGATATATTGTGATGGTCCACGATATTATTGTGAGATTTTGACAATACGATATCATGATATTTTGGTTATGGTTACATCCCTAGTAGAAAGTAGACCTTGAGATCACAGGATACTTCATGACGTAATTCAACACACAATACATGGTTCATAATTAGGGCCCGACCAATATATCAGGTGGCTGATATTATCAGCTGATATGGACACATGGAGACATATCGGCTATCGGCCTAAATCTTGCTGATATGGGCTGATAATCCACGTGGGCATGTTATACCTTGTTATAAAGTTTAGTCTCTCTATATTATGTTCATTTAATCCAATTTATAAAAGATAAATGTCCTAATATGTGGCGCCGCATCCATATTTATCTGCGGAGTCATTTGTCTGTGTGCGTGACGCTGTACTGCCCCTGAACGCACCCAGAGTCACGTTACTCATGTACCCTTGTTTACACACGCAGCAGCTGTCAACATGCTGGATTATATTATTTCTACAGACGATCGTTTTGAGTCAGGATTGAAAGGACACTTATTTGTGAAGACTTGTGATCTGAGAGGTGCCTGTATAAGCGGTGAATGTTACAAATGTGTCTTTTGAATCTACTTTTCATTCTTTCTTCATAAATGAGCTGTGAATAGAGGTGTGAATGATCTGTATTTACTTACAATTAATTACCACTATGAGCACAAGTAAACAAGTAAACAAGTAGAGCTAGACCTAAGTTTTATAATCAATTGAAGATTTATAGTGAATTTTTACATCACTAAATATATCAGCTTTTATATCAGCTATCAGCACCTCGAACTTCTGTATCATATTGGCCACAAAAAAAAATCCACATCAGTTGGGTCCTTTTCATAATACAGTGCTATCACTGACACAGCAGAGCACAGTATCAACCACATTTAATTTCATTATGTATTTTTTATGCAGTATTTTTTGTGTTTTTAGTAAATTGAATTAATTGTTACTTGTAAACATGCCAGTGTAGATACAAATATTCAAAAATACTGCATAGCTATTGAAGTTAAATACAAATATGCAACAAAGTATAGTATGAATAGTAAAGTGTTTCAGCTCTTCTTTTGCAATCTTAAAATACACGAGGGCGTTGTATGTTTGTTGATTGCAATAACATTTTGCGGAACAAATTTTCATCCCACAATAGCTTCAGATAATACCCTTATGGTGTTTTGAATCCCACTTTTGTTACCTAAAAATTCCAAATTTAAACATAAATATTTGTAGTTTTCTGCTGTGCTAAAAGAATTTTGTGAGCAGAGAGCATAAATGAGTTGAAACAGTAGTTCTTTTCTTGAAGTTCATCCATCTTAAAAGACATACGTTTGTGTGAGAGCTGAGTACGGACTGGTTATACTGGCTGCAGGTGTCACTAAGATGTGCTCTAGCCCCTTTATATTGTTTTTAAGCTCTTTTTCTGACTGGACGGTGTATTTGCACGGCTGGGTGGCTGGAAGCACCACTAAACAGCAGCAGTAAAGAATTCTTCTAGTTGCCTGTGCTATGACCTTTGACCTTCCCAGCTTTGATTGAGGAGTGGGGGTTGACCCTGGGCTATTTTGTGTGTGTGTGAGGTTACAGGGGAGTGGGCGTATCGGAGGAGAAAAGAAGGAGGAGAGAGAGAGGGAGAGAGAGGCATGTTTTTAGACTTTAGTGTGCGTCTAGTAGCGCACGTGCATCGGGGTTTAAAGAGCGGGGGATGGGTGGAGGAGGTGCACGAGAAAGATATAGCAGCGGGGTGGTCACTAAGCTGTGTACAGACCAGGAGTCGGAAATACATGAAGCCTGGGCAAAGAGTGGACATTGGCTAATCCTTCATTTCAGACAGCAAAACAATGCTAACAATACTGCATTATGTATCATTGAGACAGGTGGAAGTCATGGAGATGTTGTCCAGTTGTGAGAGTAAAGCGGGATTCTCACACAGTGGTGAATTGTGAAATTATTGCAAGTTCCATTATCTTAAAGGTGCATTGTGTAACTTTTCTGGTTGTCTATGAAATGCTTGTCTCCATGGAGATGTTATTGCTTTGTCTGGAATGTTTCACAGTATGGTATTAAACCTTTCTATCTTCATGGAGACCAAAACAGACCAAGTTACAGGTCAGATCTGTGGAGAGACAACCCAGCTCACAGTCAGAATGTCTGTTTTTCTAGGTATTTTTGAGCTATGGATAAATGTAAGACAAAGCTGTTTAGTGTCATAGTGTGGAATATTTCAGGCAGAGCAATGGCATATCCATAGAAACAAGCAGGTGACAGACCCCCAACCAAAATGTTACACAGTGCACCTTTAAATGACCAAATTATTAATCGCAGTTTACATACATATTACATTTAAACATATTTAGATTTACTAGTAGATACATATTTGTTCTAATGCACAAAACTTGATAAAAATTGTCTTGCACTCATCTAATTTTGATCTAACTAATAACTAAAAAAATACATGTATGGCGTTCAAGTTTAGGTTGCAGCCACCAGGGGTCAGTAAAGAACACAAATTGTTTTCTAGGTATACAGTTGCTTATTAAATAGGGAAAAAAAATCTGCAATCTAAATCTTTATCTCTTTGAAAGAGATTTGTAATTTCTTATACTTTCTGTATGGTAATAGTGTGCAGCAGTTCACGACTTCAAGACCAATTTACATTGTTGATTTATTTTGTAATGTGTATACAGTAGCTATTAGAGAGATACAGCATATGCCCATAGTTTTAAGCAGTACCGATCTTAGTACTTACAATTTGTCTCATGTGGGGGTTTTTGTTTAACCACAAACACTGAAAGAGCTCAGTATCATAAGGGTCCTAACATATAATTACTCACCCTATGTTTTGGTGCCCTGCTATAAAGTCCCACGTCCCATCATTCAAACCTGTACAATGGCCTGAAGGGGGCGCACGTGTAGCTGATGACATCTGTTGTTTTGGGCTAAATGCGTTTTACAATCAACGCTTTGTACATCCTCTGACCTCGTAATGAACTCTGGTATTATTCAACTCAGGTTATGAACACTTTGCAGTATACAAGGTTAATGTTAGGGCACGGTGAGGCTGCTTAATCTGCTATTAGAGAGTCGTCGATACTGATACTGGATCAGGTATTGGTTCCATGATATCTGTTCAGTATCCTGGTTGAGCCTGTAATTGGATGTAAGAAGACTATTTACAGACTGATTTTTGTCCCAGAACATCTCATAATG